GCGATTTCCAACCTGTGGGGCGCGCCCCCCTGGTGGGGCGCGGTGCCGTCCCAGGGGGGCGCGAAGCTCTTTCAAAAATATGGTTGTTAAATGCTGAGTAAGTGTCAAAAACAAATCAGCAAAATGTATGCAAGTAATCTACAATTTTCGCTGCAATTTTGTCAGGACAAATGTAAAAGCATGATATACTATACTTTTGGTGCATTCAAAATATTTCGTTTTTGCGTTTGTAGTTGAGTGAGCTGTAGGCCTATAAACAAAAGATAAACACTCGGATCATATCGAATATTCACGTGCTTACTCGAGACTAACTTAAGTAAATAAACAAAAGCATCCTTTTTATTCTGTTATCTATAAATCGAATTAGTTCATTAGTTGTGCTGGAGATACACGCGTTGATATATAGAAAAAATCATTTCTAAATTATTATTGAGTTAAATTTATAGCTTTAGTTTTAGCACATTATTAGCCAGGAATTATTGTGAAAAGTAGTGAAAAAGTGATTTTCTTTGATTTGTTATAAAAACCGTTTGTAATGGATAAATACGTGACTGGGTTGAAAAGAAATTTAATGAAGCAGAAGAAGAGGGTGGTGAAAATAATGGAAATGTTTCTTCACAAAATAGTAAAACTAACATAGAAAATATGATCCAATGTACTTATCATTGGGATTTACGTATAAGATCATTAATGGTCAAGAACGACCAATGTGTTTGCTGTGTATGAATACTTTGGCCTCAGATAGCATGAAACCAAGTAAATTAAAACGACATCTGGAAAAAGTGCACGCCGATCATGTTGGCAAAACAAAAATTTTTTCCAAAAAAATTAGATAACTTAAATAAACAGAAAGAATCGTTTTCAAAAGCTTTGTCTGTATCACAAAAGCGTTACTTGCGTCATACAAAGTTTCGTATAGAATTGCTAAATGCAAAAAAACCCCATTCAATAGGAGAAACTTTAGTACTACCAGCAGCTATTGACATAATAGCTACGATGTTTGGTGAATCATATGCTGATCAAATTAAAAGCATTCCGCTGGCAGATAATACGGTGGGAAGACGAATATCAGATATATCTGATGATCTTTGCGATCAGTTGATAGAAAAAATTAAATTATCTTCTTTCGCGTTGCAAGTAGATGAGGCTACCGATGTTGCTAAGGATGCACACTTAATAACATATATAAGATATGTTATGGAAAATGATATTAGAGAAGAGTTGTTATTCTGTAAGGCAATTGAAGGCAAAGCTACGGCGAGTGAAATTTTTAATATGATTGATAACTTTTTTATTGAAAATGGTATTTTATGGGAGAACTGTGTTGGACTGTGCACTGATGGAGCTCCATCTATGGCAGGAAAAAATGCTGGTCTGCAGGCCCTAGTTCGAAAAGTGGCTCCTCGTGCAGTTTGGACGCATTGTATGATTCATAGGCAATCTCTTGTTGCAAGAAATATGGGTGAAGAATTACTTGAAGTATTGTTAATTTGTTGTTAATTTTATCAAAAATAGTCCATTAAGAGAAAGGCTTTTTGGAAAATTGTATGATGACATGGGCTCAGAATACAAAACACTACTTTATTATTGTGAAGCACGTTGGCTTTCTCGTGCTAAAGTACTTCAAAGGGTGTTTGAGCTCAAAAAAGAAATTGCCATTTTTCTTGCTGATAATAAAAGAGATGAAGCAGACATATTTTATGACACGAAGTTTCTCGCAAAATTTGCGTATCTAGTTGACATTTTTAAAAGACTAAGTGATTTAAATAAATCAATGCAAGGAACTCAAATTCATGCTTTTGTTCAAAAGGACAAGATTACGGCGTTTATGAAAAAAATAGAGCTGTGGATAGCTAGTATGAAAAGTAATAACTTTGATATGTTTCCTTCTTTTAAAACTACATGTGTTACTGATGATGAAATAGAAGCAAGTAAAGATCTTATTATCAATCATATGACTAGTTTAAGGAACCAATTTGCGCATTACTTCAAAGATTAAATGGATTAGAAAATCCATTTGTTATTGATAAATATGATAATTTTGGACTTCCAACGGCAGAGCAGGAAATGATAATTGATTTATCTAGTGATAGCACATTGAAGCAGATGTTTCAGGACGAAAAGAATATTGTTAAGTTTTGGTTACAAGTAAAGGACGATTTTCCAACTTTGACAAATAAAGCCTTAGAAATTTTATTACCATTTGTGACATCCTACTTATGTGAAACTGGTTTTTCTGCAGTAGCAGTATTAAAAAACAGTACCGATCTCGTTTAGTGATAGAAAAGGAACTGAGAACAGCGATTTCTACAATGGAGCCGCGGTTTGAGAAAATTTGTGCTGAAAAACAAGCTCAACCGTCGCATTAATTTTTTAATATTGTGTGAAATATTATATCATTGTTTTTATTAAATTTAAAATATTTTTTTCCTATAATCCATAGTTATGTTTGTATGTATATTTTTGTTTTTAATTTTGTATGTATGTATATTGTGCATTATTTGGTACGAGATTGAATAAATCATAATTTCAATTAAGTATATTTAAATTAAATTGTTAAAAAAATTAGGGGGGGGGCGCAATATTTTTTTCTTTCAAAGGGGGGGCGCAAGGAAAAAAAGGTTGGAAACCGCTGGTTTAGTGGGTTCTTTTGTCCACTCACATGTAAGCTTTTATAGAGGTTTATGAAAAGCTATTGAATCTAACTTAATATAATAAATTCTATAAAACAATTTAATACTTAAAAATTGTATTCAGGTATCATAAATTAAACACAAGTGCTCAAAACCAAATAACTACTAACGAAAAAAAATACTTTTGGTATAAATATCATACATTTTTGTTCACCTCTTATGAATGGCATATGCTGCCTTCTACTTCAAAATAGTATCGTTAAAACATATACCTTGCTTGTTTACGAAAGAACGATGGTGGACCTTTTTACTCGCGTACCTTTAAGCCTCGCTCTATTCTATACATTCTTCTCATTGTTTCTATTCGATTTCATTGATCAATTGGTTATTATTGAAGTATTAGAAATTATTTATGGTGAAATAATTTTTATTACTTTTATATAGAAATTTTTTTAACGAAACTATTTTTATTGAAAAATAGATTACACTACAATAAATTGATATTATTATTTAATCAGACTCATATAAAATAGTGAAAAAGAAATATGTAGGATATCTACTCTCGGATTATTTTAGATACTTGGACAGAATTTTAAATCATCAGAAATGTATTTAATTCTGATTTGTTAAGTATATTGCTATATTTGGAAAAGATGGATATTTGTAATATCCATATTACTAAGATTATCATAGAATATCATAGTACATCAAATGAAAATATTCTGAATATTTATAACTTTAAACTTATGGAAATTTGAAATATCTTTTTAAAATTGTATTTTTTTTTTCAATAAAAATGAACAACAATAACCGAAAAATGTTCATAATCTGACCAAATCTCTAGGTTGCACTTAAAAGCTCGTAATTTCCAAACATGAGATTTTTTTTCTAAATTTTGTCAGGAAAGTTAAGTTAATACTATTACCTCGTTGACGTTAAGTTCTGGGACACCGCGTATTTATCAATGTTTAGCTTATTGCTTATTTCAATTTTAAAATAGTATATAATATTATAATATATTCTGCTATAAAATCTTATAGAATATATAATTTAAAAATATAACTTTATTGCTAAAATGTAAAATTAGCACACACACACATACTTTTTTCAAATTTAGTGTCACTCGATTCAGAATGGCTTGAAACGTCGAGAAAACATAAAATTAGCGAATCGGATTTTTTGATAAAAATATAAACTTCTCCTTCGGAAAATTAAAAATTAAAATAATACTAAAAGTTACAAAAAGTTTATGAATGCGAAATATTTAAATAAGAAATGAAAAAAGTTTTTTCTAACAATAAATTTTATTCTGGAAATATATTTGTTTTACAAATTTCGGATTGTACCGCTTTCCTACAATTCTTTGATTTACTTTGGCTACTTTTACCATTAATTAATGTAAAGCACAACTAATATTACTAATCTTTTTTAAAACATTATTTTCTTAAAATCTTAAAAATTAAAGTGAGATACTATATATCTTGAAATTTATTAGTTACAAACGTAAGTAGGATATTAGGTTTAAGGGAATCTTCTATATTTTTGTGAGGGACATTTCAGAGTCAAATGCGAGACAGTAAAATTTCAGTAAAATTTATGTTGAAAGTGTAGAAATAAACAATTTAAATTCAAAAAACTGCATCTTGATTGCATTATTGGTTTCCCTTCGATCCATTCTCAAAAAGTAGTATTAAAAACGAGGTAGAAGACCCCCTTAATTCCAAAACCAAAGTTTAATTAGATAAAATTTCAAAACTAGTATACGTCCCAATTGAGCGATCAAGTCTTTTTGGTATCAAAGAATATTATAATAGTATTTGTTATTCACATTTTATATTTTATAATCTAAAACATTGTCACTTTAAGATTTCAGAAGAACTGATATACATTTTTCACAATAGATACACTTATAATCACATTCTTTAATTCACTATAATTAATCCAATTTGAACACTATTCTGTAATTTAATAAATCGATATATATATATATATATATATATATATATATATATATATATTATAATTGTGTATATATAGTATCCTTTCCAAAGTAGGCGCGATTCTCTGTCCAAAAGATTAACCCTTCCACTTCAGAGCGCAGAAGGCGACTGCGCGCTAAATATTCGAAGTTCGCGGATTTCATCGCGAATTTTCGGCCTGTGGGCGCGGTCCGCCCGACTCGCGACTATTGGTCGAAATGTGGGAGATAAATAAACCGTGTAAAAATAAAAGTATGGCTTGAGACGAACGGGTTTTTATGGTAATATGTATATTGTTGTGTTCTTTTTTGCAAACGGTATATGGGTATTTAAATACCACTTTTGAAGGTCGTTATTAGATGTCCTTGAGATGGATTTGAAATAATGATTTTGTTTAGTTTGATGGAGCAGTGTTTCTTAAACGTGAAACATTTTATGTGGAAGTATAAATTCGTGTTATGTACTATATTTTTCACATATTCTTGGATGTCCTCCAGTATTCCAATATTGTTTAAATACTACTTTTAACTTCCCGTCGAGTAAGTTATAGTAATTGCACAAAATCAAAAATTAAACTTTTTTTGCATATCTTCACGTTTCAATACCTTCTGAGCATTTAGGTATACCTTAGAAATTGCAAATTGCACAAGCAAAATCAAAAAGTAAACTTTTTGCATATCTTCACGTTTCAATTCCTTCTAAACATTTAGCTATACCTTAAAAATTGTACGTATGTGTGTGTGTGTATGTAGTATCTGTTTTGTATGGATACAATTTTTCCTCTTCGATTTCGAGATCTTGGATCAACCGATTTGAATGATTCAAAAAACAATCGATTTCTATTTATGGGGAGACGTGCTGATTAGTTTTTGAAAAAACAGGTCCAGCCGTTTCGGAGATACATAACACAGAGTGCAAGTAAATGAAGTTTTTGAGAGAACGGAGCATCCGATTCAAATGATTTTAAACATTTTATTTGTATTGACGGAGTGAAAAATTGATTCCATTTTTTGCGAAGGCAGGTCCAGTGATTTCGGAGCTTTTTAATATACATGTTAACAACATTTTACTTTTATTGACATAGTGAAAAATTGATTCCATTTCTGCGAGGGCAGGTCCAGTGATTTTGGAGTTTTTCATATGCATGTAAACAACATTTTACTTGTATAGATGGAGTGAAAATTGATTCCATTTTGGCGAAGGCAGGTCCAGTGATTTCGGAGTTTTTCATTTACATGTAAACAACATTTTACTTGTATTGAGGAGTGAAAACTTGATTCCATTTTTGCGAAGGCAGGTCCAGTGATTTCGGAGTTTTTCATGTATATGTAAATAATATTTTACTTTTATTGACGGAGTGAAAAATTGATTCCATTTTTGCGAAGGCAGGTCCAGTGATCTTGGAGTTTATATATACACGTAAAAAAATATTGATACACAGATTAAAGTAGGCAGGTGGAGTGAACAAGTAGACAAGTATACAAGTAGGGTAGGAAGATATATAGATAAGTAGGTAGAAAGGGTGACAAGTTGACACGTTATGGTAGACAGGTAGAAAGGTAGAAATGTTGACACGTAGACCGGTAAAAAGATAAAGCAGTAGACAAGGAGACAAGTAAACGGTTGGATAGGTAGACAGAAACAAAAGTAGCCACTTAGACAGGTAGTCAGTTAAACAGGTAATCAAGTATACTCTTAAACAGGTATATCATATAATTTAAAATATTTATTGATTAAATTGATTATTTCCATGTCGGGAAGCTCATGCAACTTGCTTTAAAGCAAAATGCCACTTATATCCATTTTTGGTAAATTTTGGGCCATTTGTTTATTTTTTAGGAGACTTTAGGACTTAATGTTCTCTATTTGAGAAGCTCAATTGTAATTG